TGTTTTGTCATGTTCAGACACATTTACAATGTGTACAAAAGACTTTTTTTTTTTAATCGTGTTTAAATGTGTTAAAAGCAAGTAAATATTCTCTTAACTGTATTTTATCTTGCTTGGATTTTACTTTTTGCTGCCCAGATTTGGGGTTTTCCTGCATTTTTCACGCACCATTAGCCACCTTTTGGCACACAGAAAAGCACTGCTTGACGGTCATGAATTTTCAATGTGGAGTCGCCCGACGCTGCCCGCCTCCATCTTCCGCGGAATCATTCCGAATTCCGTGACTTTTTAATCCGCCCGCACACATTCTTCGGGAATGTTATCGGCAGAAGGTCCTCACTCCCGGATTGTAGCCGCCAATCCTTACAAGTAGAAGGAGGAGGTTAACCCACTTTGTCAACCTGTTTTTAAGTTTTGGGGGTTGCTGCTTATGTTATTGTCTTCAGCGGCCACTTCTCTGTGGACCTTAAACTTCAGCTTTTTTTTTTTGTATTAACCTCGAAGTAATGTGTTTTCCCCGTTGTTTACGAGTCAACTGCTGTTTTTTTTTTTTTTTTTTTGTCCAGGTCTCAAAAACACTGCTTTTGTTTTTGTTTAGACCTTAGACTGGTTCACTGTAGTCGAAACTTGGCTCTATGTTCCATATGAGATTTAGATTTTCCAGATGTGAATTAAATGTGAAATTGTAGATGTGAAGCGGTGTCTTTTTTTTTTTTTTTTTTTTACGCAATAAGTCCGTTGGCCGTGGCCACAGTTACAAAGGAAATTAATGGCTTATTCTTGCTTACTCTTGCTTTCCATCTGGCCTTTGATCTATTTGACCGGAAGAGACGGCGGCATAATTGAAGATTTTGCCGCATGACTCCTGGCCGGTCGACACCTCTCTCTAATGAAAGTCTTGTGCGGCAGGCTCGATAAATAACTTAAAACAATCCTCACACTTTGGACACAAATAAAGCAAAGAGATGAATAAATGAAAGTGCGGCCTGCCCTTTAACGTGAGAAAAGCTTTTTGGCACCTTGCAGCTTTTTGACACTCGCTTGGTGGCAGCAAGGAAATGAGATGCAATAAAGGATTGAATTGAATTGAATTGAATTGAATACAACTTTATTGTCAAATGTGCTGTACAGCACAGATGAAATTTCTTCCCTCTCAACATAAAACAAGAGGAGCCGCTGCGGGTGTCCGCGCCGCCATCAAAAGAAAAGTTAACAAAAAAATGACAAAATAATACAAGACAACACATGAGACACAGACAATCGTGCAATCTTAACCACCTTCCTGCATACACTTTGTTGTCTGAAGCAGTTATTGATGAGATGTTAATATCCTGAAAAATGTATTCGTGTCATTAATCATCTGTACTCGGGTAAGATTAGAGTAGCCTTTAACTGTGTGTGTGGGTGTGCGTGTGTGTGTGTGGGGGGGGGGGTGCATGTGTGTGTGTGTGTGTGTGTGTGTGTGTGTGTGTGTGTGTGTGTGTGTGTGTGTTCACATACACGGTGGCCGACTGGTTACCACGTCGGCCTCACAGTGTGCAGGGTTCAATTCCGTGTGGAGTTTGCACGTTCCTCTCGTGCCTGTGTGGGTTTTCTCCGGGTACTCTGATTTCCTCTGACATTCCAAAAACATGCCTGGCATGTTGATTGCCCCCCCCAAATTGTCTCTCAGTGTGATTGTGAGTGCGAAGTGTTCGTCTGTACGTGCCCTGTGATTGACTGGCGACCAGTTCAGGGTGTCCCCCGCCTTCTGCCTGAAGACAGCTGGATAGGCTCGCTCTCTCTTGATATTAAGTCTGACCCCCACTCTCTGCTATGACTTCACAACGAATTCACTTCACAACTTCACATTTATTCTATTACTTTATTTGTCTTTAATCTGGAAGGAAAAACTCGAGACCTAAACAGGAAGTTGGTATTTGTTGACGTTGATCTAAATTAAGAGTGTTTGCCCTTGGTGTCTTTTGAGTTTGACATGTAAAGAGCAAACGCAGACGAATGTCATGTTCCATAAGAAACAAAAACAAACGTCTTACAGATCGATGATTTGTCGTACGCTCGGGGAGACGCTCGTCACGTCGACGCTCGGTAGATGACCCACTTCTGCTCATGACTCTCGTCTCTTTGATGGCGACGGCGCCGGGGGAAGCGCCGTCGCCCGTCTGCCACCGGCAGGTTGGCAAGCTGTCGCTATACCGTGATCAAGACGCGCGGCATCACCTTGGGGGTTGGAGGCAAGGCCGCGGGTCCCGCGCATCCCCGCACGCTTCTGCTCGACACATGTTTTTGTAAACAAAGAGGAAGATTTAGTCGTCGATGAACTTGAGGTACACCTTTTTTGCAACCATCAAAGGCAATTAAACCCCAGACCACACAAATATACACAACATGTTTTTCGAAAACACTAACGATAGAATCGAAGTCTTTGTTTCGCCAGGCGAATGCTTTTTGGAATCATCAAAGCCAGTTCGATGTTTGTTCAATATCAATGATGACTTTGTGTTCAAATAACCAAACGTATGTAAGATGTGTATTTTGTAAACATTGAAGATGATTTCGGGTTAGTCTGACCAAATCTGTGTTTTTGTGAAAAACAGGTTGGACTCTTCATTGAACCAGTAATGTTTTGCCAAGTCAAAAAAGATTTTCATTTTTGTAAAGATCAAAAGACAATTGACCATCTTCAGAAGATCTCCCGTATGCGTTTTTTGTAAAAGACCATTTCGGCTCCAAAGAGTCGTGCTTGTGTGTAAAGCCTCCACTGAGTCAAATGTGTGTGTGTGTGTGTGTGTGTGTGTGTGTGTGTGTGTGTGTGTGTGTGTGTTTCCCCCCAAACATCAAAGACAATTAAGTCTTCAGTAAGCCTAACAAACATGTTTTTTTTTTTTTATTGAAAAATAACCGTAACCTGCAGCAAAACCAGGATTTCGACCTGCTGCATTTTTTTTTTTCATTTGCGAAACAAGATTGATGTCCCGTTTCATGTCGTAAGTGTGCCTGGATGGATGAAAAAGCCTAAAAAGCTTCCAAGCGTGTGCGAGACGACAGACGAGAGGTTTGCATCAATATTTGAACAAAGTGCTGCGGCATCTTTCTGCTCTTAAGGAGACGAACAGAAAGCAGATCATCTCCGCAGACGTTATCGTCCCGACGAGTGTCCTGAGGAGATGCTGAGAAAAAAAAAGTTTCTTCCAAAAAAAAAAAAAAAAAAAAAAAAAACGTCAAGTAAAATCGAGCTTGAATTTTCTCCCGCTGTAGTTAGACACGAAAAAGTTTCACCACACACAACGCATCCGTTTTGAAACCTTTTAGAACTGATTCCGTCACATTTGGACCTCGATTTGATAATTTGACTGAAAGGAGGACGCCTGTGAAGAGTTGGCAGTTAACCGGAGTGAACACCAAAATCACAAACATCCTGTTTTTGACCAACATGAAACAATTTAGGGTCTTCGCTGTTCACTCAACCTCATGTTTGTGTTTTTAAACATCAATCACCAATTTTGTGTCTTTGATTAATCTGGCATGTTAGCTAGCTACTAGCTTGAAGTCATCCGCTTATACCAGGGATGACTTCAAGCTAGTAGCTAAAATTAGCACATGAACAATCTAGCAGGTTTAAAGGCAGATTTTATCCGAATGGAGTAGACTGGCATTTCTTTCTTAAGGCAGTTCAATCCAATGTAAATAACACCCCAAAAATTATAACACGGATTGGAGGCCATGTCTCCTCGCAGAGCAAGCACGTGCACATTCACATGCTATTTTTTTATTTTTTTTTTTAAGGTCTTTGCGACATCATCATAGCAGATGCTCCCTCACCTCCGCCGCCCACCCAATCCATCTGCCGAGCGTCGGGAGCATGTTATCAATGTAGTGTTGACATACGCCACCCCCGTTTGCCACCTCTGCGCTGGCGTCACCCCGCGACCCTTCGTTTCCACTTAGCAGCTGCCTGGTGTCTAAAAAGAAACCAGCGCGGCGAAAATCCGATCGAGTGGATCGAAATTTGGTCGATGTTTTGCCTTTTATGTAAAATCGCTAATCAACTGTCATGCCATAACTTGCGCGATTTATCAATGGCGTCAGATCCGCAAAGTAAGAATCATGAATCAGTCAAGAATCATGACTGCACTGGCTTGAAATGATTTTCTCTTTCTCCTTAAGTTTTCTCCTTCTTTCATGAAATGTTGTGCACGTTCTTCAGTACATATTGCAAACCTTATATATAAGCTAATTGTATCATAACGCACATCCCCCGTAGGGCGCTCGCCCACCCCTTGGGAGTGGGCTGGTGTGTTTCTAATTAAAACACGCCGCGTTAATGAGCACACGTGCTGCCGTCACATCGCGAGCAAACATCTGTCTTTCATCGTCACATCTTCCCGCCATTTTCTTCACCCCGGTCTTTGATGAGGAGGATTTTTCTTTTTCACGTGCACGATGGCGTCCAACTCGGCAACAACTCCCTCCAAGACGAAGCTAAATCGACCACTGCAAGTGTGCCATATTGGCAAAGCGGGGACCGCCAAAGAGTGTGTTCGTGAGAATGTGTGCGTGCGTGCGTGTCTACGGTCGTTTTGACTGAGTGTAGACGACATGAAGCCTCTATGGAAACGAAGTTCAAGTTGTGGCCGTTCCCCCGTCACATCCTAGCAAAGTTTTAGGGTTAGTTAGTAGAACTAGTTGAGCTAATACTTTGACCGCTGCCTTCTACTTCCTGTTTGTCATTGCACTATCCTATAGATTTTCTCTCTCGCCATCTAATGTGACACGTGAGGTAAACGTTTGAGGCGATTAGATAACTACCGGCTGGTCACATGATGGAAGTTATGTGATGGCAGTGGTTCTGGAATGACGGCACTTTGATGGATGGAGACGTTTTACCAGTTGACAACGCGGAGGCAGTTTGACAGCCCGTGTCTCAAAAGTGTTTGAGTGATTTGATGTCGTGCAAAGTGTTTCCGTCGAGTCTGACTGTGATTTGATTTGATCGCTGTGCAGGCGTTCGCGGTGAGAGCCAGCAGCACGGTCCATCCGGCACGCTGCCGCGCTTTGTGGAGGAGCCGGTGGATGCGTACATAGTCAAGAGCAACCCCATCAAGCTGCACTGCCAGGCCCGGCCCGCCCTGCAGATCTTCTTCAAGTGCAATGGCGAGTGGGTCCACCAGAGCCAGCACGCGTCCCGTGAGCATACTGACCTGGGGACAGGTAAATACAAAGCTCTTCACCTGGTCCTCTTTCTCATCTCCGTAGTACTTTGCATACTCAGCATGTGAAATTGAGTAACGACAGATGCTTTCTTGAGTGCCGCAACTTCTTCTGTGCATCAAGATGCCCTGGTGCAAAATAACAATAACAAAAAAAAAAAAAAAAAAATCCCTCTCCTGTCTTTCTTGCAATTGGCTGTTCTCATCACCAACCTTTCTCCTCATGCCAGGTTTTGAAAAAAGACATGACTGGGAATGGGGAACAGGAAATATTTTCCTTCCACCTCATAGTCAATTCACAAGAGCTGCAAAATATCACCCTGTGGGCCACAAGTGGCCCCCGGGCTGCAGGTTTGAGACCACTGAGTTCAGGGCGAAGGGTTTCTTGCTTCCTTCAAACCTTTTTTATCGTTTCTCGTGGAAGCAGAGCACTTTGAATTCGATTCTAAGAATGAATTTGCAAAACCCACAATTTGAAGCAAATTTGAATTTGGCAGTGATGTTAATTGTTTTCATTCTAAGTTTCATGTAAAAATAAGCCTTTCGACCAGCAGTTCCGCGACAAGGATTGACACATAAGATTTTTCAATGAGCAGCACCTAGAATGCTGGCCAATCACGGTCCCGTCCCACAATTCGGGAAGGCGGGGTATCATCTCTGAAGTGTACACCCTACAACTGACTTGTTTCCCACAGCCACCAAGAGAAAACCTTCATCAAGCAACAATGTTTGAAATAGGTCCCATATGCTTTAAGCTATCTTGAGCCAACAAGTTAAATCTGTGTTTTGAACTCACCCAGTACCTCTCCTTAAACCGGACCCAACAGTATTTCCAAAAGCCTCAGGGTGATATTTCATCACAGCACTTGTTAAGGTCGGGTGTTCTTCCTGCCCTTGCTTCAGAACGATGATGTTTTCCTTCTTTTTTTGGGGGGGACGGCTGCGCAGGCCTGTCTTGTTAATTAATGACGACGGAGATCTAACTGGAGCTGAAAAGATCCTCTTCTCCCCCCCACCCACGTGTTCCGCTTCACAACACAAAAATGGTGTGAGCCGAGAGCCCCCACGGCATCCGTTAAGAGGAGCTACCCGAGATGCTTCAGCGGAGCGGACGCTCACCAATTAATGGCAAATTAATGACATTGATTCTTTCGAGCTTGCATCCAGAACACAAGATTTGATTCAGACTCAATTGGCCTGAGATCAATTGTTTGTCCTTTGAAGTTGGATTGGACCATCCTTTAAAGACAAACGCACTCGCGCAGAGCCTTGTTTAAAAGATTGTCCGTGTGTCTTTTTCCATTTGCGTCAGGCAGCTTTCAGCATGAACTGCTCAGGCTGGGCTATCACATTCGCTTCACTATCACTATTTTCTTTACTTTGTGGATCATTTCTGATCCATCTCTTCACTTCTATCGTATTAATCATTCGGCACGCTGCATGTGTCCACTCTGAACCAAGCGTGCCATCGACTTCCTTTGCCCGTTATTATGAATACCGACCAAGGAACGCTCGCTTCACACTAACTGTACCACGGGTCTCGCCAAAGCGAGCTCGAACATGGACTTGCCAAACTGCGAGCGAGTCAGGCGACGCGACGAGAGCACTTCAGCAAACACATAACGTGATGTTCACGAATCGTTTTTCACGCGCAGCAGCAGCTATGGCAGTCCACGTTAGATGATATCTTTTCAACGCATGTTGCTTTTAATATTTCATTATGCCAACGATGAAGAAAAGAACGGAGTCTCGCAGTGTGCACGCTGGGGCTTCGATTCCAAACACCTCAGGGACCACTTGAGAGGCTCCGCTTCACAAACTGCACATGTACCTAATAATTCGGAGGCCGAGGATCGTCTGGTGGTGCTAATGCAGAATGGAAACGTGTCTACTGTGGGATGTTTTTGTTTTTTGATTTTTTTTTTTTTAAACATTGTATAGGTATATGAATAAGAGATGAGCAGTGGTGGAGCCGCAATGTTTTGGCCAGGGGGAAAGAACACAATTATACGCCCACCATAAAAATAATAAAACAACGCTGTCTGCGTGTTCCAGGAAGACGCTTTGATGGTAGTTGTTTTGAAAGTGTGATGGAAGGATGAACACGTGACCGTCACAGCAGAACTCACCCCTTGAGTACAATGTCCCATGCCAAATCCGAAAATTTACCACATTTTATTCTGTTGCAGCAGCAGAATAAATTTTCAGATTTTCTTCAGCACTCTACACACAACAATCCGTAACGACCATATTTGTTGGAGTAATTGGAAAATGTACACCGAAGTGGCTGCAAAGAGGAATCTTGTGCCCCCAACCTTGATTCTAATGCTAACCGCTCATGCTTCAAAGTCAAAATGTACAGATCAACATTGTGTTTATACCCTGAACTTGATGCCAATATATGCGTCTCCATTGTCTTATTGGTTGTTAATGTTTGTTAAAAATGTACACAAATGTTCAAAGTTGTGTTTCAACCTCATGAACTTGATGCCAATATATGCGTCTCCATTGTCTTCTTAGTGTTCTTCCCCCAAAGTTGATGTTAATGCTTATTGGTTGTTAATGTTTGTTAAAAATGTCCACAAATGTTCAAAGTTGTGTTTCAACCTCGAACATGATGTTAATGCTAACTGCTAACCCAATATGATACAGATGAAGGTTTTGCTAGCATTAGTTCAGTTCTATGAAACGACTTTTTTGAAAAACAAATGTCGTTCAAGCTAAAGAAAATGTATGTGTGTGTGTGTGTGTGTGTGTGTGTGTGTGTGTGTGTGTGTGTGTGTGTGTGTGTGTGTGTGTGTGTGCGTGCGTGTGTGCGCGAGTGTGTGAATGCGTGAGCGCGCCCTGCAGGCCGTGCGAGTCACCTTGTGTGCCTGCAGCATGACGCGCTACATCATCTTCATGCATGTTGTTGTTTATTCATCAGTTCTCTTGCAAGGCCATTAATAAAGATGATGCAGACGAAGAGGTGAGGGCAGGGCCTGCCTGCCTGCCTGCGATGCCTCCCAGCGTGCTTTGCGCTTGAGGCCCTTGTCACAACGAGGTCACAAAGCAAACCGATTTTTAGTAAGCTCGTGTAGCTATAACAGTGCTAACACTGGCCTTAAAGCAATTGTCATTTAAAAGAGACATTTAATTATATGTGGCAGCATATGTGGTAGTGGTTGTACATCCACTTCACAGTGGAGAGGTCCTGGGTTCAAATCGGTTACATGGCAGTGTGGCTAATTTACATAAACAGCGCTTACACTTCAAACCGCAATGTTAGCACAGACTCTCATCCGCTAACAGAGTTAGCTGCTGATAAGCGGCACAAAGTTTACGACGTGCGTCTGCTGCACGCGCTACATGCTAGGATTTGCAAGAACCCATTAAGACATTAAATGCATGGGTTGTATTTTCCTTGGTGGAAGCAGTACTTCATCACCAAGCCACCGAATTGCACTTGTCAGTTCGTGCCGTGGTGTGGAGCATGACGCCACACACAAATATCCTCCAGCTGATATAAAAAAAATTCGCTGAATATTCATTTCAGAAGCTCATGCTAATCTATGCTAAGACTGCATCTCTGCTTACCTCTTGGCTTTGACATGAAATTGCTTCAGGCGGTTCTTTCACTCCCCAACTTTCTCCATTCAAGCTGTCGTTTCCTGAGAAACTATGATGGGGTGGTTATGTTAATTAGACCCACTGCTACATCACAATCTTTCAGGATTCAGACAGGTTTGCTCACAGATGCATCTTGATAAATCAGAAGCCAGACAACTAAAACTACTTTTGTTCAATTTCACACTTGATGTGCGGGAAACCACTCCAGATATCTATTATGTATACGAGGAATTAAAAAGTCAGTTTTCCATGATATATCCCTTTGAATGATTGAACACAAAAAATGCACATTAATACATCTCCTTAAATTTCAGTCACTATTAAATGAGTTTTTTTTTTTCTATCAGCAGCAACTAGCCAAACGAGAGGAAGGTGACGATTGAACTCGTCAGGAAATGAAATATGAAATCATCACGTCATGCTGCATTCAAATACGTAATTGTCAGAGGAGCGATGGACATTTAAAAGCCTTCAATTACTCCACACAATAGCTGACGAGCTTATTCTACCCGCAGGAAATTGCGGCTTCGGGGTGCCGCAGGATGATGAGCGTCTGGTTGGTGAATACATTTGCCAGAATAATGAGTTGCCTTTGAGGGTCCAGTCACAATGACTGAGCCTGCCTAGCTGACCCAAAGTAAAAGTACTTACTCTTATTGTTTTCTTGGCAGATGTATGAAATTTCACAGTTTCATGCAGTAATTTCTTTTGCCAATATTATGATCACCTGAACCAAAACAAGGCATTTAATGAGAACAGTTTGGCCTTGATTGGCGAAGAAGTAAAAAAAAAAATTGATGCTAATGTTAACAGTTATATTTATGTCGCTGACAGGACTGAAGATCCGTGAGGTGATGATCAACGTGTCCCGCCAGCAGGTGGAGGACTTCCACGGTCCCGAGGACTACTGGTGCCTCTGTGTTGCCTGGAGCCACCTGGGAACATCCAAAAGCCGTAAGGCATCCGTGCGGATCGCCTGTAAGTCCCGACTTTTGTTGTTTAGTGTGTGGTTTTGCTGACTCTTAGCGCTTCTGAAGTTTCTTTTGTTTTTTCAGACCTGAGGAAGAACTTTGAGCAGGACCCTCAAGGCTTGGAGGTGCCCCTGAGCGGCATGATCGTCTTGCATTGTCGGCCACCAGATGGTGTACCCGTAGCCCAGGTAACCATGCCGATAACCCCCATGGTTACATTTCTCACGCCCGAAGACATATCAGTCTTCTGTGCCACGCAGATGAGAAAAATATACGCCTATTGGTCATTTATGGAATAATGGTTTCATAATCAAGTGAGGCGGGCGGGGAAATATTTCCTTAAATTGTTTAAATGGTTAAAAATACATATTTTGCTTTTTTTTCCCTACCATGGTAGGGAAATGGATGTCAATTATTCGTGGATCTCAGAGAGTAGAGAGAGTAGAATTTTTTTTTTTTAATGTGCCACAGAAGAGTTTACGAGGGGTCATTTGCACTATATTTTTATTTTTTTCAAAAAACCTAATATGGCATGAGCGTAAAAGTGAGCAAAGACGGAATCAAAAAGTAAATCAAATATCACACCCCACTGTGACTTATTCAGGTGTCTTGTTTCAATTCCCTCTTCGACTGTGGGTTGTTGTATTTGACACACGGCCTTTTTAATTTCTCCCTCATGAATATCAAAATGAATATCAATGAGGAGAACAATAAGAATAGCAACCAGCGCTCTCACCCGCCATCACGGTGAGTCATGTGGCATCACGCTGAGCCTCCGTCTGTGGTATATCGATGTCAAAGTCAGAAGCTTAAGTTTACTGAAAACTCAATACTGCCGTTTCCTCTTTGATTGACAGAGGCACGCTAATGCCAATGCCAATGCTAGCAGGTGTACAGAGCCCAAACTTGATGGTATAAGGCCAACAGATACTGTAGAAATGCATATTCATATTGTCACCATAGCCCAAACACGTGGTAATGGTTTCCGTTTATTCTATTCTAAAGCTCATGTTTTTTTTTTTGTCATTGTATCATGTTAGCGGCTTGCGCTCCAGCCTCATGCAGACTCTTTGTGTCATTGTCGCGTTGTTGTCAGGCAATAAAAATGAATAAAATATGAGAAGCGTCTGGGGAGGCATCATTGGAATGGGGACTCTTTCTGAGAGTCTTCTTTGAAGAGGAAGCTTTGTTAGCGTAGCGTAGCGGCATGTTCAACTTAACATAGCACAACATGCTATCACCAGCTCATCACCCTCCACCCCCCAAAAAAGCGTTTAAACTTTTACATGTTGTGTGTGTGTGTGTGTGTGTGTGTGTGTGTGTGTGTGTGTGTGTGTGTGTGTGTGTGTGTGTGTGTGTGTGTGTGTGCGCTTGAATGTGTTTAGTAATTTGACAAAGCCCAGCATGTGTGAGTTGCATTTTTTAGCGTGTGTGTGTGTGTGTGTGTGTGTGTGCGCGCTTGAATGTGTTTAGTAATTTGCCAAAGCCCAGCATGTGTTAGTTGCATTTTTTTAGCGTGTTGTTTCTTTGTGTTAAGTGCATTTTCTCAGCCTAGTTTGACTTCGTGTTCTATATTAGGAGATTTGTTCGGGACAGTCAGATGATATTTGTATCTTCAAACTTCTCTAGCTTGTGTATAGAAAAAAAAAAGCTAATAGAAAAAAGAGTGTCCTCTCCTCAGCAAGACTAAAGCAGACGTAAGCTCTTTTTGCTATCAGGCGTGCTAAGCTTATTGCTGCTATCACAGCAGGGCAGCAGATAACATGGACGCCTCTTCTTTTCATTAACATCACACAGCAACCATAACGCCGCTGTAACGTTCAGGGTGGCTTCAAGACGGATAAGCTCAATTTATAAAAAAAAAATGTTTTTTTTTTCCAATAATGACGACACAACAGGATTTCAATGCTTACAGCTCCCTCTTGAGTAGCTATGTGACCTCAATTGCTAAAAGCGGCAGTCCGGGTGCATGAGGGGGCCAATAGAGGGGATGTACCCTTTCCAAACTCACGTCATTGAAAAATGAAAAAAAGAGAAAAGCATCTTTTCAAACGTGGACACGAGCTATTTCCTGCTCCTGCTGGGATTTGACTTTATGGATTATTTACTTGCACTCTGCTCTTTGTCTCACGCATCAGTGCGTCAACATACCGATGACCACAATGCGTCAGTGCGGCGCTAACATGCTGCCATGCTACTATTCGCTACTAGGCTATCCTCAGTCATTCAGCGCGCACACACAAGAAAGTTCACGCACATGCCCGGGTCTTGATACAAAATAACACTTACTAGCACACCAACACATGTTACATGCTAGCACGTATTAGTACGTGTACCACATATTATCACATGCAAATAAATTGTAACACATTAGCATGTTGTAACCCATTAACACTCAGGAACACATGCTAACATGTGCTAACACATGTAGCCAAATTAATAGAGAACACATGCTAACACATTAGCCCATGCTATCACAAGTTAACACACGCTTGCGCATGCAAATTACCACATATTAACATATGCTAAACACATTCGAGCACATTCTCACCAAAGACATGTTGGTGCACAGAGCATTCCCAAACATATTATACTCACAGATTAAGACATAACACATGACCACATTCGAACAAATATTAGCACAAGCTGAGATTGTGGCTGTGAGCGATGATTTTGCAAGAAACATCTGACATTTCCCATTTCCTTTAAGTATTACAAGTGAGAAAAGTAATAGCATGCCCATTATCGAAAAAAAGAGGCACATTTTGTCCTTTAGTTGCATTTGAGTACTCTGAGCATTATCGCCATTAGTTTCCATTTAAAAGAAAGCCTTTTTACAGTCGAAAAAGTCAGACATATTCGCAGCAATAAATAATGAATGAGAAAAGTAATAGCACACCCGCACTGAAAAGATGCACGTTTTGTCCTTTGGTTGCATTTAAGTCCCCCGAGCATAATTGCCGATATTAACTGCCGATATTCCCCGCCGATTACAAAGCAAGCCTTTATGTTGTCACACAAATTCCTGCTTTAGTCCCGTGGTTATTCTCTCTCTGCGGCAAAAGCGGTTGACCTTCGTCTCCGTGGCAACGCTCAGCAAAATGTTCTCATGCTCATGCTTTTTTTTTTTTTTTTTGTAACAGCCTGAGACTTTTCAACGGGGGGTAGAAAGCCGCCGTCGCCGTAATTGTGTGGGTCGAAGAATAATCGAATAGCACACGCTTGGCAGCACGGATCTTGATTACAACGCCAGGCGGGGAAGTCAGCAGAGACAAAAGTGGCGGACGGATTCGGTGGAGCGGGCAACGCGGCCCACCAGCGGGGGCGCTAAATTACAGACACGTAGAGTGGGTAAAAAAAAAAAATGTTAAATCAAAACAGCTCTCATGATGACGTGACTCCTGATTTATTGATATCCCTGTGTGTTCTCTTATTTTCCGCCTTTCAACTGGGGTTTCTTGGAAAGAGCAAAGCAATCACGGAGTTTATTGGCTGCTGCGCTAATCCCTCAGCGACTGGACGTCAAACACGCACACAGAGTGCTCGGGCGCACACCGACACACACGCGCCGGTGTACAAACACGCGGTGTTCCCAGCGGGACCGAGTTTTTAATCCTCAAATAGAGCGGCGTGAATCAGAGAGCGCTCCCCGCGGATGAAAAGCTCCTGACGTTAATGTCAATTTACAGCAGCGCTCAAGCGCAGAGACCAGCATCCAGCGGCGTGTCCTTCATCAAGGCTTGAGCACGCCACAGAAAAAGTGGCAAAGGAATCGCCATTTTTTATGGGCTTTCTCAAAGGACAAAATTGACCAAATTTGGCAGAAATGTTCAGCCTGGTGAAAATTTATCTATGGTTGGAGTTGTGTGTGTAGAGTCGAAAAATTGTCAAGGTGGCGCCCTCTGGAACATTGTGAAACTTCAACCCTCGAAGGCATTTGCACGTAGCAACATGAAATTTAGTCGACATGGCATGAGTGCACCCACAAAAAAAGTCTCAAAAAGCCACGCCTGAAAAGGTATATAGGAAGGCAGCCATTTTTAGTGAAAAATATCAATTTTAGGTCCACTTTGTACATTTCCAGCGGTCACACTTTTCTCCTGGAGATTTTGTCCAATCGATAGCATAGCAGCAAAACGTTAATAACTTGCTAAAAAAAATCCAAGTGTGTGAAGTATTAGAGCAAAATGTTCTCTTCCGCTCCGCTCTCTTTTAAACGCAAATCTCTGCTCTTGTTGTCTTCAGGTGGAATGGCTGAAAAACGACGAGCTTTTGAGCACCGGTGGCGGCGTGACAGACCCCAAAGGCGACCACCGTCTGGTCATCCCTCAGGCGCAACTCTCCGATTCAGGAAACTACACCTGTGTCGCCAGCAACATCGTGGCCAAGCGGCGCAGCTCCACAGCTGCCGTCGTCGTCTTTGGTGAGCTAATAAAACCCTGCTCTTTTTTTTTTTTTTTAAAGATTTGTTTGCAAGTAATTTGTTTTTTTTTATTGCTTTTCCGTGTGATTTAGTCGCTAGAGACAGGTCGTGGAGCCACTGCGGGAATTAATCAGGTCCTATTTTTTATTTTATTAAATTTTTTTTTGCGAAGGCTCCATCAATCAGTCATTTCCATAATGTTCATGATGGCCCGACGACTCGTTCTTCCCGTCTGATGACAGCCAATGAGCTGATGCGTCACTTTGGTGGCCGCAAATCACGGACAAACGTGACAGTCGCCGTCGTTCATCATCGTCGTCGTCTTCCCGATGAACCCCCCGGGGACACTGAGATGGGATTTATACTGCGGCTCTTTTCCAATTTAGTGCTTATATCAATTTTTATACTTCTTTCTGTGTGTATATTGACTGAACAACTACACTCGACAGTAGAAGTAAACAAACGTTACATTAACCCTTCCATATCATTTATCTTAGTCTGGATTGACTTCCCTCGATCGTTTTTTTAGAAGCAGCTCAATATACACAATATGTAATGTCTACATACCGTACTCCAATGTAGCATATTTACTTCATATTTACTTCTCCTGTCATCCTGTTTTATTGACTTCCTCGTCTTCTAGTGAATGGCGGCTGGTCATTATGGAGCGACTGGTCACCCTGCAACGTGCGTTGCGGTCGTGGCGTCCACAAGCGCACGCGCACGTGCACCAACCCGGCGCCGCTCAACGGCGGCTCCTTCTGCGACGGCGTCTCGGTGCAGAAGAGCGCCTGCAATTCGCCGTGTCCCGGTAAGCAGGCCGCGACGTCAACGCCAACGTGGATGCGGCACGCTCAAGCCGTTTTGGTTGTGATACCTGCCAGTGGACGGCGGCTGGGGCGCTTGGACCGAATGGTCGGCGTGCGGTGGCAACTGCGAGAGGAGGCGGAGCCGCGAATGCACGGCGCCCGAACCCAAGCACGGCGGGCGGCTGTGCGACGGCGTGACGCTGGCTACTGACAACTGCACAGGAGGCCTCTGCACACAAAGTGAGAAATACCATTTCATGTATCTAAACAACTGCGAGAATAGTCATCGTAACAGCTGCGATCGTCCGCAGCATTTTATGGGACGTTATATACACAGTGGTTGATGTTTGTGCGTTTTCAGATGGAAAATTGCTGCGTGATGCCAAACCACAAGGTGAGCTTTTTGTGTGTATGTGTATATTTTGTTCATGGTACTTGAGTAGTTTCTTGGACTAATTTCTTAGCACCCCCCCAAACAAGACCTGCTAGGGGGGTTGTAACCTTGTACTCATTAGTTCCATAGTATGTATTTCTGAGAGCGGCTTGGAGAGACCAAAAGACGCATCTGACAATTGAGTTCCCAAAAATACAAGTCCATAGTACAAATAACCCCCCAAAAAAAATGAAAATCCTGGAGCTTGAGGTAGATATGCAATTTGAACTTGAATGTTGCAAGAAGTTTTGGGATGGTGTCTGCTCAACGATTTCCAAAGACTGCAAATACAGGGAACTAAAAGTTCCTGATGCCGTCGAGGGATATTGATCAGAACTAGTCATTTTGGAGGACCCGTGTTCATTTTATTGTAGTTACGGGAAATACAAGCCTCAAGAACAAAAAGTTCCACTGAGCTTAGGCGTTTTTGTTGTGACTTCTACTCACTTTGTCCTCAGCTTTGTTAGTTTGTCCCAAACTTTTCAAGCCCTCAATTAACCTGCCAGTGGAAAAATGTTAATGAGCGTTCTTTATTTTTTTTCCCCCATTTTGCGCTCCATCCTGCTGAGAGGATTTCTCCCAATGTCCCTTATCTTCATGTAACAAGCCAGCAGCCCGTTGCGATTTCTCAGTGCTTGGTCTTCGGTCCTCGTTTCTGCTTGGGACGAGATACAATTTTCTTATTGTACATTTCATACAATAAGCAATGATTATGCCCAAAGCCTTAGCGCAGAACTTTGTCCAAGAACCTCCATGAAGTTCTTGAGATCTTGAGGGTGTTTCCGGTTGGACGCGACTTGTGAGTGAAAGTTGCTGTTGCGTTTTTGAGGTGTGGTGGAGAGCGGCGTCGATGGCATTGGCGGGGGCGACGTGGCGCTCTACTCCGGCCTGGTGGCCGGCGCGGCGACGGTGGCGCTGCTGATCGTGGGCGTCACCATGTACCGCCGCAGCCGCAGCGACTACGGCGTGGACGTCATCGACTCGTCCGCCCTCGCCGGAGGTTTCCAGTCCTTCAACTTCAAGACATCGCGACAAGGTGACACCGCATATAAATATACATATGCATATACATTATATTATAATTTACATTCCAATTAACATGAAGAATGAAGCGATTCAAAGTATTACTGTGTGCGTGCGTGTGTATGACTCGTGTGTGCGCTCGTCTGAATAATTCATGGCCGCTTTTTAATTTTATTTTTTTTTATGCGTGTGATGCTTAATGTAAATTTGTTTTACAAGGTTGGCATGACAGGTCACGTTTGTTGGGATACCCGAGCGCGATTGCAGCGGGATATGAAGAGGGGTACAGTGAGGCGCTGTTCCCTCCTCACCTGACTGAATTATTTTCCGCAGGCAACCCTCTGCTGATCCGCTCGTCGCTGCAGCCCGACCTGAGCGTGTCTCGCACGTACACCAGCCCCATGTGCTTCCACGACGCCATGGACAAGGAGCTCCTGGACCCCCTGCCCGATCTCAAGGTCAAAGGTGAGCCTCTCTCTTTGAGCTACAGATGTACCAAAAGAAGTTTTGAGGATGAGTACTCCGTTACTCATACTCATTGACCCGACGATGTGCCTACGCGTAGGGATCACAGAGGGTTCAGACTACCACCCTCAGACGTTTCCGAGGGGCCTGTCACCGGATTACCGGGGCGTCGTGGTGGGCGCCACGTTGGGCCGAGGAGAGAGGAACCTCCTTGGTCCGCAGGGGGTGCCGGCACCTGTCGTCAGGCCGCGGCACAAAGCCACGGCTGTGTTGGGTCACGCAGGAGGACGCCTGGTGGTGCCAAACACAGGTGCACGCACCTTATTTACTCCTTGCTCCTTTCCTTCTTTCCTCCCTTTTGTCTTTCTTTTCTCCTTGTTTCCTCTTTATTTCCCTTGACTTTCCTCATTTCTTTCTTTCATCTGATTCCATCCACCTTTTTTGCCCTCCTTTTTTTCTTCTTTGCCACCTCTGTTCCTTCTTTCAGCCGCCACCCAAAAAAAAAAAACTCACCCTTGGCGAGCAAGGCGGGCGGGTGCGTTTCGACAATGTTTGACCTTGTCGTTATTGGCCCAAAGCTAGAATGAGAAAATGTCATCCATCCGGCAAAGAACATTCATTTTTCATTCACTCCACAGATGAAGGCCGACAGTTTTGGCCTTCATGCAATCACCTCAGTCAGCCTCAGCCATTCCGAAAAGCACACAAACACCTTGAACGCTGGGAACATGCAGCAATCCGCAACAAGAAGTCATTCAAAACGTAAAGGGCATACTTTTATAGCAATCAAAAACATTGAGCAGGAGAAAAAATTGGAAATTCATCTGGAATAGAACTGATTTCAAAAGCATGTCATTTAGTACAGGTTAAAAGGTGATATTAACCTGGAGGAGCAAAGCTGCAAATAGTGTCCTCGCATGAACACCACACGCACTTCCTGGTAGCTGAGGAGCTTCTGGCTTTCACCCTTTCAGCGACAGCGGTTACTACACTGGACAGCTAATTAGCTTATCAGGTTACAGGTTATCGTTATTTGCGCACAAAAGGGTTAATGAAGGGTTCCGACATACAGTATGCCTGCATTGTTTGCTTCCTATACGTGTTGCTGATCATGTAGCGCAGGTGTGCTAATGACGGCAACGTTGTGCACAGGCGTGAGTCTGCTGGTGCCCGTTGGGGGGATCGCTCAGGACACCACGTGGGAGACAACGGTTATCGTCAACCAGGAGGACAGCAGGTGAGCAAACTGTTTGTTAGTCATTGGGTTGTTTCGTCGCTGAGGGAGGCGCTTAGTTGTGAGCGACTGAGTCAGTCAGTTCGGTTTGTCCATTCAAGGTCAAGGTCATCTTTATTGTCGGCTGTTAGTTCATAGGTTGGTCAGTTATCGAATTGTTTGGTTAGTTAGTCAGATGGTTTGCATTTAAGTTGCCAGCAAGGTTATCAGCAGGTCTGTGATTTAGTTGGTGTTTTGATTCTTTCGTTATTTTGATTTTTAGTCAGGCAGTTGGTAGGGTGGCTAGTTTAGTTCGTTCTCGGTCAGTTAGGCAGCTGGAAGTTCTTTGAGTTATTTTGTCAGTCGGTCGGTTGGTCAGTGAGTTAATAATTTAAAAGTTGGTTAGTTGGTCGTATAGTCTGTTAGCCAGCTAGTTTATCTAGTTTATCAGCTAGTCAGCTTGTCTCTTGACTTGCTAGTTTGCTCGTCAGTTAATTCGTCAGTCAGGTACTTGGTTGGTTAGTTAGCTGTCCATAGTCTGTGGTTGGTTGGTTGGTCGATCAGTTGGTTCTAGTTAGTTCCACATCGAGACCAAGTGTCGTCTCAGGCTAGTTTGAAGTTTGTAGTTAACCCAGAGACGACGGTAAGCACCTCTGACTGCAGCCACTGCCGAGCCTCGGCTCTCCGCTCATCTGTGCTACTTGCGCGCTGCGCAGCACTGTGCAACGGTGCGATAAGACGCATGCAGTGTGCCGCTTAAGGAAGCTGCCGGAGTTACAGCGCCGAGCTGTCAATCAACCGCTATCATCCCAAAGGCGGGGAAAGTCCGGCAGGACGGAGAAATAGGATTTCCTTTCTCTTCTTGTTGCCCGAATGAGACTTCCCGGCTCACTTTCACATACGAGAGGAGCTGCTTATATTTTCGTCACGAGTCACATGGCGCCTGCCGTCATGTGACACGCCCGTACCGACTCGAAACTGATCCGTTCCAGTTAGCAGGATGACTATTGATATTCCGATGTCTTTATTGGTCAACACTGTTGATGGTCTCTGTGTCAGAGTAAGACTTGGAAGGTAAGAAGGTCCGCAGAAAACGCACAAAAAAAAAAAGTATCGGATGTGAAAAGTGAAAGAGAAGGTCACTTGGGTTGATCAGTCAGTGTTCCAACTCACAGCTCGGCGTTGGGCGAAGGATCGGAGATCTTCCTGAGTCCCGCCGTCACGTACGGCCCGCCGGGGCTGGAGCTGTCGTGCCCCGTGGTGCTGACCATGGCACACTGCTGTGAGGCGGCCGCCGACCACTGGATCACACGGCTCAAGAGGCAGACGCAGGATCGCAAGTGGGAGGTCAGTCATCCAAACCCTCCAACGCGACACCCTTCCATCTCAATTCCCTCCATTTCAACTCAGGGTGTCGCGATCCGACCATATCGGCCGATATATCCGAGTTCATCAAGCATTTTTCAGATGATCGGCATCGGGTGAAAAAGATTGCTTTTTTTTTTTTTAAACAAATGAAACAACATGACTTTTTATAGGTCACAAAGAGACAAAATAATCCCGAGGGCCAACGATATATTGCCAAATGTAACAGCAATAGCGTCGTTTTATATCGCACTACATAACGTTTTTGAGTTTGTGTGATGGAGTGTGAAAGATGAGAGGCAGACATAAAAGCCGCACGAGTGCCCGGACTCCACAAAAAAAAAAAATGCTTGTCGTTTATTCAAGCTGCAGATTCTTAAGGCCTGTTGTACGGGAACTATTTGTTCATAAATGAACCACAGAAGGAGACCACAAGAGGGATGAATTGATTGACAAAGGAAGAGAAGAGCGTCGGTGGCGAGTTGGCATGCAAGAAAACGACTTTCCCACTCATCGTGTCTTCACATTTTGAAGACTTTTGAAAGATTGAGTTGATACATTTCTATGCCAGTTAAGGCCTCATTTGTCAATGCATGGATTCAATGCCTGTATGGAACCACAAGAACTCTGTTCATTTGAAACACTGCTCCACTCCACATGTCATCATAGCGGGTACTTAAAATCAAGTGACTCCGACTCCGGTTCAAAATAAAAATGTGATGAAGACATTTCTTGACCCCCAACACCTTCCACCTCGGCCTCCTTCTAATGCACACACTCCATCTTGACCATCCATCTCAACACCCCCCCCCCTATCTCGACACCCTCCTTCTTGACTTCCTCCACCTCGACACTTTCCATCTCGACATCCTACAATATCAACACCCTCCCTCTCCATACCTTCCATCTCAACACCTTCTATTCATCTGTATGGCGAGCGGATCCGCGGCGCTCTTTTTAATGGTGCGGTGACCTCCTCAAAAGGCAGCGGAGACCTCATGCGGGGAGGGAGGACGGAGGAGGGGTTGTGGGGGGGGGCGCCTTTGAGGCAGAATGACACATACACGCGCGCACAAAAGGCGTCTATCAAAACAGCGAAAAAGTGCGGGTGTTGTGCCTCTGACTGCTGTGAGATAACGAGAAAGATATCTGATGTAACCAGAAAAAATATGAAAAAATTCTCGGAATTAGCGCTCCGAACACTACTGGAGGCCGCCGTCGCCCATTAAAGTGCCATCAGATCGTCGAGTCCCCTGCTGCAAATTTTATTCGCTAACTCTAAGACCCCTTGGTGACTAAAATATGTAGATTTATCATTAGGGTACATGATAGGAATGCATCTGAAAGCTTTTTCCAACAGAATGATGAATTTTTTTTTTTTGTATGGTTTATTTCTTTCTTTCTATTGGGCAGTATGGCCTTGATCAGGAATATCTGTTGAAAAATTGGATTATTTCCCATTCGACTGCTCATTTCTATTGTGCAAAGTGTCGGTTATCGTGAGTAACTTTAAATTTTGTTTGGTGGATTGTTTCTTAGTTGTCCCCTTTAAATCTTTTGGGCAAGGCGGCGGTTATGATAAATAATTGGCTCAAAGGGCGTTTTGCATACTGTATGTTATGCGGTATGTATTTTGTACATGGCACACATACGGGTGACTGTATTTGTGCGAGTCCCTCGTGTACTTTTTGTGTTTATGTCTATCGTGAAAAGCGTCGCTGGTCACGAATTACTGTTGAGGTGAGCGACACGTACGTACGTGCATCTTTTGCTTTTCTGCTTGGTGGATTATTTCGAGTCGTCTCACCGGTGGGAGGGAGTGCGCGCTTGTATTCACTCGCATAAATTGTGGGCATGCATGCATGAGCAAGCGCGTTCAACTTTTCTTTGTGCCCTTGCGGATTACTTCGCGTTGTTTATTTTTATTTTTTTGTGCGAGTTGGCGTTTTAATGAAAAACTGTCAAGAACCACTACATTATGGCTCCGTCGCTTTCAATACATTGCGACCCAATAAAACCCGAAAGGCTCTAATTTATGCGTCGCTCATCTTTTCCTTATAACATGCCAGTGATAGTCACCCAATCCCGTTTTCATTATCGCTCCCCGTGGGTGGTAATTTGAAGTTATTGTCCTAAAAATCAGAGCGGCGACAGTTTGACACCCCGGTGAAAGCCACATGCGGGCTCACCGGCGGCCTGGATTCTCTGTGTGCTTTCTGACAGGAAGTGATGTGCGTGCAGGAGCCGTGCACTTCCTGTTACTGCCTCCTGGAAGCGCAGCGCTGCCACGTGCTGCTGGAGCGGCCCGGTCGCTACGCCCTGGTGGGCGAGCCGCGACGACCGGACGCCGCCAAGCGCCTGCGACTGGCCGCCTTCGGAAGCCCCGACACCGCCAACCCAAGGGGCTTCATCCTCAGGGTCTACTGTGTGGACGACACGCCGCACGCTTTCCAGGTTGAGTTCTTTTTAGCAAGGTAGTTGTCATCATGTATAATAAAGCGAGGGGCCAATCATCGATGGCAGTTTTTAGATTTTAACTCTATGGATTATTTCGCAATGATCATGTAAAATCGGTGCAAAGGGAGATCGCCCGCGCCACTGCATCTCTTGAGTTTTCTCTGATGCAAACTGACGATTATGCTGACTTTGGCAAGAGGAGCGAATTGTCGCGACTGTGACATTTGTACCCCCTCTGCCGCCCTCAGGAGGTGACGGCAGGCGAACGCGTCCGAGGCGGACGCCTGCTGGAGGAGCCGAAAGTGTTGTCCTTCCGCGGGAACGCACTCAGCCTGCAGGTGAACATCCAGGACGTCCCGCAGATGCTGTGGAACATCAAGCCTTTCACCACCTGCCAGGTCAACTCTTCGGACTGTTTTATTTATTCTGCGGATTATTGGAACTCATTTGTTCACCCTCAAAATATCATCTTCTCCTCCTTCTTCTCTTCCTTTCCATTCACTTCCTTTCCCTCCTTGACTTTCTTCCCCCCCTCGCTGACTTCTTCTCTTCCTTCTTTTTCTTCGATGGCATACTTTTATTCTCCTCCACCTCGTCCTCCTTCCCCTCCTTGTGTTTCTTCTTTTCATCTTTTCCTTCCCTTTCTTCTCTGACATCACCTTCTCCTCGTCCACCTTCCTCGTTCTCTTCCTTCTTCACCCCCTCCCCACCCTTACTCCTCCATCATCCTCCTTCTCCTCTTGCTCCACTTCTGCAGGAGTTCTCCTTCTGCCAGGTGTGGTGGGGCAAACAGCGCGCCCTGCAGTGTGCCTTCTCCCTGGAGCGGATCAGCGCCGCCTCCTCTTCCTCCTTCTCCCCATCTCCTCTCTCGTGTAAGATCAGCGTGCGTCAAGTTCAAGGTGAAGAGCAAATCCTGCAGATCTACACAACAGCGCAGCCCGAGGTGAGACCTTAAATTTGTTTGTTTGTGGTCATGGGGTTTGTGTTTCATCGTAACAAGTTACGGTGAAGTAGGCTCAATGTGATTGGACCTCTTAAATTGGTCTCCCCCACCCTGCCAGAACCCAAAGATACCGGTCCCGTTCTCTTCCGAGTCTGACTGCTCCATCGCCTCCCAGGCGGGATCACGGGCCTTCAAGATCCCACTCTCCATTCGCCAGAGAATCAGCGCCACATTTGATGGCGCCAAAGGCAAGGACTGGCGCCTCCTAGCCAAGAAGCTGCACGTGGACAGGTAGGAAATAGACCGTTTAAATTCTGAATGGACTCCCACGCGCAGGTAAAAGCAGAATCCCAAAATGCATATTTAGTGCGTGGGATCCAAGCAAACGAGTCGGGATTGATCTGCCATCAGCCACCAAAGCCTCCAGTCGCGCCCACGCCGCTGATTTCATTATAGATGCGGAGGCGTGCGGGGAAAGCAGGCGAGACAGCGTTCCGGTCGGCATGGCAGATTCCGATCGGGAAGGTCTCAGACCGCGGGGAACCTTGACTGCTTTGCTCGTTACCGTCATGAACGCTTGATGATTGACGATGACCTCTGAGAAAATCTGAGGAAAAAGAGCGACAGGAATGGAGTGAGACAAAAGACTCTGGGGTCTCATGGGTTCGTTAAGCTGATTCACGCAATTATTTCTGCAAATATTTGCAGACCGGTCACTGGGAGGGACAAGGAAGAACACCGGGAGGCGGGGAGAACTGCCCTCATCCAATTATAAGGAAACACTGTCCCCTAGTGGTCGTAACATAAATTGCACAGTTACGCTCCAGGAAGACACAATCGCAGGACTGTAGTCAAGTCCACCTTTATTAAGTCCAAATCAATTTTGAGACACAAAGGTCCAAGTCCATTCTGAGTCCACAGCGTTAATAGTTGGATTCTCACCCCCATAGGAACTTGGGCTACTTCGCCCACCATGAAAGCCCCGCTTCGGTAATCCTGAGCCTGTGGGAGGCGCAGCAACAGGACTTGGCCGACCTGGACTCCCTGGCCAATGCTCTGGAGGAGATCGGCCAGGTGCAGTCGCCCACCGGAAGTGCGGGCAACGATATGCGGGGTTCCCTAAACTCGGCGAGGACTGCAGATTGAAGTCCCAGACAACTGCATGAACGCTGATGAGCAGACACTAGCAGGGACTTCCCGGATAATACGGAAGCTTCTTTCTGACAGGAACAATGGTCAAGGTGAGGTTTGTGTTGTCGGGAGGGATCGTCCACAACGAGCGTCTATCTTGGAGATCGGACTTCTTGTTCCTTTTCGTGTGTGCGCGCCAAACATTTAGTGTGCCGTCATGTTGTCATTTTTTGCTTTTTGCGTCGTGTCTTTAACTGTGCGAAAAGTGGAGGTAATAGCAAATGAGAAATGTTGGAGACTTAATGCTACAGGTGCCAAAAAAAAAAAAAAAAGTTAGCATGAGGACGATTTTTTTTTGCGTGACAACCTCAGAAGAGTAGGTACCTCGGACCACAAACTGGTCCACTCGCTCCCAACTGAATAAAGTGGCTTTGTGTCCAACTCTGTCTCGACCTCTCTTCACACTGTCCATAATACATTGTCCAAATGCATTTCTACTCTTCCAGTGTGGACACACAGGTCTTTGAACCTGAAAGATCAGAGGTGAGTATCTCAAAACTTTAGTTGTAGCAAGGTAGCTGCAAAGCAACTTTGCCGGGAAAAGCCCATTGGAGGCAGAGCCCAACAGCATTTAGGATGGATGCAGATGGCTGCCAAACCAAAGATAACCCAAGCAAACAAAGTCACACCGCAGCATACGCGGCAATCAACAAAGCAAGAGGACCAAACAAAGGAACCAACAATCTCGCCTCATCCTGCACGGCCACACAGTTGCACACACACGAAACGCCCCCTCAATGATCACAATCAGCAGCCACAGGAGGGTGGAAAACAAATCCGCAGCTCCAACCAACGCGGTCACAAGGCTCCTAGTGACAGAGATAATCTCACGCTAACCATGTTGGCTATAACCTAGGAAGTCAAAAGCTAACTAATGTAAGTGAAAAGTTAACATTTTGAGTTTACTTTTGCACTGGAGCTGATTGGATGGTATTCCGAAATGAAGTGACCGATAATTGTATTGTCAACGCGACGCCAACAGAGGGCGCTGTGGGCTTTCTCCCCGTGTGAAAGCCTCGTCTCTTCTGCGCATGCCCACGCACACCGTTTCCACGTGCCCTCCCGAAAAAAAAATTACGCAGACACACTAAACCACCGTACGATAACTAGCAAAGCATTCTGGGTAAATATTAATCTGCTTTATTAGCTTCACTGGCCAAAGCGTGACCGAGCCGGATGTTTCTAGAAACCCAATGCCGCCCCCCCTTAATTAATGACCCCCACCTCCCCAACTTGGATAGCTGCCCCCCCTCCCCCCTCAGCCTTTCGGCAGGAATAAACAGGAAACGTGTGTGTGTGTGTGTGTGTGTGTGTGTGTGTTGGGGGGGGGGGCGCTAAATACAAGTCATGTGCGCCTCATGAGAACTAAAAGCTACACAGAAAAAAAAAGGAAAGCTGCAAACTTGTGTTGCTTTGGGACAACTGGGCCCTAACTTGTTGCCACGGCGACGCTCCCATTCCCAGGCTAATGCATGGAGTTTGTTGGCTAAGTGAGTTTAGTTTGGGGGGGTTTAAATGAGGCATAGGTTTTCAAACAAAAGTTAGTTCCAAATTAGGGTTTGAAATAAATGTCAGGCTTTCAAATTGAGTTTATTGTTTCAAATTATGGTTTCAAGAAAGGTTTAGTGTTTCAGTCAGACGTTGTGGTTCTATATTAGGGTGTCAAACGAGCATTAGCTTTTCAAATGAGCAGTATGGTTTAAAATTTGAAACAAACATTGAAGTTAAACGTTTAGGGTTCCATTGGGTGTTGAAAGGCAAGGTTAAGGTTTCCAATAAGAATTAGGGTTTCAAATTAGGGTCGGGTTTCAATTCAGGTTTCAATTTTAGCTTTGGAGATAGGATTGCAGTTCCGAACAAGGATTACTGTATAAAATGAGGGTCTGAGTTTCAAATTGGGATTTCAAGCCTGGATTTCAAATCAAGTTTAAAGTTTCAAACAGGTGTGCGGGTTTCAAATTAGGGTCAAGGTTTCAAGACAGCGGTAGGGACTCTAAAAATCATTTAAAGAAAAGTTTGAGCCATTGTTATGTTTTGAAATAAAAGTGAGGGTCAGTGTTACGGTTTCAAACCGACGCAGAGGTTTAAAAATTAGAGTTTTCAACAAGGGTAATGGTTTCAAGTTAGTGATTCAAACAGGGGTTTGTGTTTCAAGTCTGTGTCATGGTTCTAAATTAGTTTTTTTGGGGGGTTAATTAGTATCAAGAATACAACTGGTCACAAGATGATAACGAGGATAGGGTTGCAATGATGACATTAGCTGGAATGTCTCACTTGTGTGCAAATTGATCAACACGCATCAAAACATTCCTCAATTTTTAGCGTGCGTGTGTGTGTGTGTGTGTGTGTGTGTGTGTGTGTGTGTGTGTGTGTGTGTGTGTGTATCTTGTGGGGTTGTGGTATGCTTTGGATTAGCATACTCTTGTGGCTGGCGCGCTCCTTCGTCTGTTGCCGTCTGGAATCAGACAGCAAACATCAGCAGTCGTCTAAATTCTTCCAAGACCAAAGTGTTTGGGTTTCTACTGCCGCCGTCAGGGTCTATTTTTAATCATCTGCTCCCGTTCGTAATTAGCAGCATCGGTTGGATCATTTCGTGCCAATCGGGGTTGAAACTATCGTTCAAATGAGAATTGGAGTTTCTTTTTACAGTGTTGAAAGTTGTGTTTCAGAAAGTGTTAGGGTTTTAAACTTGGTACAGGGTGTCAAAATAAAATTGTTGTTTTATGGATTCAAGACAAATAACACATAAAGTGTCAAATTAAAGTTGTGTGCACGAGTTAGGGTTTCAAACCAAGGTTAGGGTTTCAAGATAACGATTCAAGCCAGGGTAAAAAAAAAATACAGTTAGGTTTCAAGACTGGGTTAGGGTTTCAAAAAGGGTTACAAACAAGGGTTAGACTGGTGTCCTATCCATCACCTCCTCCTCACCCTCCTACTCCTCCTTTCACAATACCAGGTCATGTGATTCACCAGACTGATGACATCACCCAGGCTCAGACAAAAGGCCGCATTCCTGTGCAAGGTGCTAATCCTCCGAGTTAACGTTCAACCAGACTCAACAAGCTAAGCAGGGTGGGTACGCGGCCCTTCGCCACCTCCGCCAGTTCCAACCGCCGACTGGGGTGCGAGGAGGTGCTGAGTGCGCAACAAGACTTTCCAGAAGCTCCTGCCAGCAGTCTTCCAGACCTTCCAAAAATCCTCCACAAATCCTCCTAAAGCCTCAATGGGTTATGTGACGCGAAGACAAAATGATGCTAACCGCGTTGGGGACAAAATACTAAACTTGGAAGAAAATACGCATCTTTAATAGTATAGCTTGTAGATCCTAAATCAGCAAAAGGCTATTTTACTAGCTACCTTATGCTAACATCATTGGTTCAAATATGCAAATCTCGGTAAAAAATATGTATCCATTTTAGTTGCAGAGATCTAACTTATTAAAAGGCTAGTTCAGACACTAATCCCATTGGCTACAAGATGCTAAAAGTGGAAGAAACTAGTCATGTTTGCAAGTAAACTTGGCAGATCGTAAATTACTAAGCTTGGTTTTTAGTAGCTATCTCGATAGCAACGTGAAGAGGGTGGACAGTATGTTAATAATAGCTGTTTAAAATTAGTTTCTTTTCAATTATTTTTTCCACATCTTTTTCATGGTGAACTTGTTGGCCCTCCGTTGTACTCTCGTCCAGATTAGACAAATATGTGGGGGCTGCCGTGCCATCCCTTACACATGCTTTAATTGTTAGCTTGGCCAACATTGCCGGATGACATAAGCAACAAGACTTTGCCTTATTAGCACCTGCGAACTTGAAGTTTGTGATTTTTTTTTTGTTTTGCTTCCTCTTGCCTCAAACCTTCCTAAACAGAGCTGGCAAAAACAATACCCGGCGGACGTCATGCAGGAAGGTTTCTCTTCCTTTTATTTTTGTCGGCCTTTTCCGCCGCTGGTCAGCAGGTCAAGCCGTGTATTGCCGCCAACACACACACACACACATGCGAGCAGAGCTGCTACCCAGTAACACACACTCACACACACACAAATACGAAAGAGAGTTGCTGCCTCGTAGCACGCAGACACATGCACACGCACACACACTTATAGACGCAGAATGCAAACACACAAACACACCACACATTCACAGTCAGACACACTCCCCAAACACGCAGACACTTGAACACACAGACATAAACTCACACACCCACGCACATACCACACATGCACATAGACTCATTCACCTAACACTCTCACACGCAGTTATACATACAGGCTTGTCTTGGAAGATTTCACACACTCACACACACACATGTGCAGTATAACACAAACACACACGCACACATAGAGTTTAACACAAACACACACACAAGACCCACACACAAGGGTGGCTAACCCAAGGTCAGTGGTAATCATGTACAGTGCTACTGGTGAATAATTGCATCTTTTCCCTGTGAAGTGTCACAGAGCTCAGGATGAGCTCGCCAACAATCTGCAGCACACTTCCTGTTTTCCAGAATGTCCTCAGTGCTTGACCTTCTGAAGGAGAACACAGGATGTGCTCCCAAGACACACTCACGTACACATGAGTTTTCCTCGACAGATTTTCACTGCACCGCTTCATCTTCTTCTAACGTAGCGCTAGCCACTCTGGACAACTTTCCGCTAGTCCTTGCCTCACCTCACACGGTCCTGTGCGCTACACACGTCGCAACATTTCATCTTCGTGAACTAGTAACTCAATAAACATGCTAACATGCTTACTGATATTTCTTTATTTGTTTTTTTTTTTTTTTTGCCAAGTGAACTAGCAGTAAATGTGTCGGGTTTGCTAGCATTGTTAGCACTCATCTGTTTGACTGACATTACATGATGAAAATACTTATTTTTCTCGGGGGGGGGGGGTGTGTATGTAAGTTAAAGTATATGCCAATGGAGGCTGTTCAAAATTAGCTTCTTTAAAAAAAATTATGTCTCCTACTTCCCTCTCCCTGTTGTGTTGAAAGCAATGGTCACTGTCATTTACGTTGATTGCGGGATGCTGTTTTGCAGCTTGACAGCACCCACACACACACACACACACACACACACACACACACACACACACACACACACACACACAC